TGAATGCCTCCAGGTAGATGTGATCAGGAAATGGGCTTCCCTTTTCACTCTTCTTCCTGAGAAGTTTCAAGATACCACTGTTGGTCATTTTGATGTAATTTAGGATTTAATTTTCGGCCTATTTCCTCTTTTGTCTGCTTGTCCCGCTCCACAACTCCCGTTCAGGCCTTTTTTCTAGTTGGAAACAGTTCAGGGCTGGCTGTGGCCATTTGCTTATAATTGGAAACTGTCTCTTTAAATTTTGAGGAGATCTGTGCGCATGCATAGTAGAACCCTCCAAGGGTGGGGCTGGGGTGCCCACTACCTCAGGCACCCCTATTGTCACCAGAATGGAGGTGTGCAGACAGCAAGGGACCAATGAACAGATAATAAAAGACAAGAATGTCCACACCTTTATCTCAGTGGTTCTGCCAGGCGTCTGTGGCTGCTCAGATCCTTCTCCCATGTGGTCTCACCCAAGATGGAGGCTCCTGGAGCAGCTGAGCATCCCGGACTAGAAAACAATAGATTTCTTGCTTCTGCCACAAATTCCCCCAGCTATGAGCCTTCCAACCTTCTAAATATTCCTTTATATGTGGTTCAGAGTTCTGGGACCATCCCCTGAGCCTGCTTGGTGGATATTCGGTGGTGTTGTTGGCGGAGCTCTCTGTTACACATCCACCCGATCCGCCATCTTGTTTGTTCTCTCACTTTGAATATTCTTGTACTTTGATTCTTAATAGCTTCATTGAAGTAAAGTTTAAATATCCTAACATTCACCTATTTTGAATATTGTTGTGAGCTGCCATGGAGTCGATTCCTACTAACGGCAATCTCACATACAACAAAATTAAACAACACCCAGTCCTGTGTCAGTTTAAGTGTACAACGAGTTTTTGTAAATTTACAGAGTTGTACAATCTAATTTAAACATTTTTACTTTAATTTTGATATATTTTGCTTTTAATATCTCTGAGGGTCAATTAGCTTTTGGTGCGAGGCTAGGTACATAAACTGTTGAGTTTTTGTTTTCCTCTTTTTTCCCATGATTTGAACTATCTTCCTAATCCTATTGTTACGATAATCAGTCAGTCACAATCAGGCTTGCCATTTTGGGCTGTACCTTCAGGGTTCTTCCCTTCAACTCCATTTTGTAACCTTGGGGTTCTGTTTCCCCACCAAACTAAGCTGCAAGGCACGTAGTTTAATAGGCAACATGGCTTTTGATAGGACAGATCTAAATCACCCCGCAACCTAAGACGACTCCCTTCCTATTGATCTTCACTTTTGCCTTTGTTCACAGTCAGATGTTACCTTGCTCTTCCTCACCCTGAATAAAAGTCTCTAGAAGGCCGTCTGGTGTGTGGTGTGGTTGATGGGCGACGCAGGGTTGTTTTTTCCCTTTCACCTATGCTAAACTTCCATTTATACATGAATTTGTTTCTGGTCTCTGTTCCAGGAGTCACAAACAGGCAAACACTTCTTTAAAAAAAAAAAAAAAAATCGGCCCTTGTAATTTTCATAATTGAGGAATCCCACATGAAAGCTCAGGTTTTTCACTTTTCTGGGAAAATCAGAAGATCCAGTAACAACCTGGTGGAGGCTAGTAGAAATTATTCCTTCTAGATGGAGCAAGCAGAAGGCTTGGTAGGACAGGCCCCGTCGTATATGCCTGCTGTTTCGGTTTAATTTTTATTTCTTAAAAGAATTCTGGCTGATATTACTCATGAGCCAGAGTCTCCACCACTCCCTATTGCGTCACACACTGTACTCTTCTCCCATTTCTATTTAAGAAACTCCTCCCAGGAATAAGATCGGAAACTATATCCTGCCACAGACCTTTACCAAAAGAATGATTGCATGGGCCTGGAGTAGAAAGAACCTATTATCTGGCAGGGAGTAATTGTTGTTGTTAAGCGCTGTTAGTAGGTTCCCACTCATGTAGTTGTTAAGTGCCATTGAGTCGGTACCGACTCATAGCGACCCTCTATACAACAGAACGAAACACTGCCTGGTCCACTCATAGCGACCGGGCATAGTTTCCAAGGACCGGCTGCTGAGTTTGAACTGCCAACCTTGTAACATTTATCCTACAGCGCCACAGGGTTTCTCTAACAATATGTCACAATTTACTACTCCCGTTCCCTTTATTTCGTCTAACTTCACAACAACCTGTTGACATTCCCAGTTCTTTCATAGTTCTTGTGGCTACTGCATCTCTAGTGACCAGCTTAGTGTAGGGTGCACAGCAGACCCCTAGTTACTATTACTTGAACAGATTCGGAGGAATTATTGATTGAACTGGCAAGATTAAGGATCTGAGAGAGTGTGGTAGTTTGGTCAGGTCCGAAGTGACGCAAAAATCAGACATAGCATCCTGACTCCTGGCCAGGAGCCGAAGGTATTTTCCTAGGTAGGTGCTTGCAACCCCCACAAAAAGGCAAGAAATGAAAAGTACGCACGCAGGGACTTATTTTCACCCTCAGCGGACTTCGCTAGAACTGAGGGGGCTTGAAAAATAAACAGATCTGGAAGCAGGATACGCCACTTGCTTTTCCTACCCTATCCGCCTTAGAGAACACTACATTTCCCAGCAGCCTCCGCAGTACGCAGGCCCGTGCCACGTGGCTTGCTCCTCCTCCGTCAACCCGCTGGGGGCGCTGCGGCGACCCCTCTGCCGCCCCGTAGATATCTCCGCGGCTCGAGGCTGCTTGCTTCCTGTTTGTCCGACGAGGAGACATGGCGGCGGCGCCAGCGGCGGCTGGGTCTAGGACCGGCCGAGGGCGACGGGCAACGGCAGCGGCCTGGGGCGGATGGGGCGGCCGGCCGCGGCCTGTAAATATGCTGCTGCAACTGCGGCAGGGCCAGCTAACTGGCCGGGGCCTGGTTCGGGCCGTGCAGGTATGAGCCTGGCCCGGAGGGGCGGGGCGGGGTGGACCGGCGGGAGCTAGCTGGGGGCCGGAGAAGAGGCCTCTCCTGGGAGCTGAAGGACAAGCCGGACCCCTCTTAGCCCACTGCGGGGCCTGCCTCCCTGTGGACAGCTCGGATGCTGTCAGCCGAGGCCGGCTGGGACAGCGGTCCGCTAGAGATCTCGGTCACCGGCCGAGCGGGGCTGGGCTGCTGTGGGCATTGATGGCGTGTACGAGCCCTGGGCCCAGCGCCTGGATCCTCCCATCCTTGCGCCACGTCTGCACGTCTAGAGGGACCCTGAGCGAGTTTACTTAGTTTCTATGAGCCTGCAGTATATCCCCCTTGAATTGGGTTAGTGGGGAGGGCGGGGGATCATCATTGCAACCCCCAACAGTTCCCAAGTGGATCCTATGTCAATTTCTCAGAGAAGCTGTTTTCTTGACACCTTCTAAAGTAGGTCCCCATTGCTGTTCTGTCACTGCACCGAATTCGTTTCGCTTACATTACTTTTTTAGTATGTAATTACATATTTCTTTGTTGTCTGCCCTCTTCTCGCCTGTCTCCTACATTAGGTTGTGCTCCAACGGTGCAGGGACTGTATTTTGCCAATGTAGAGCGTCATGGTTAAGAGCGAGGACTCTGGGGTCAGACAGGCTTGGGTTCAAAGACTTGGGCAAGTTATCTTTTTGTGCCTCAGTTTTCTCATTTGTAAAATGGAGATGATAATTAGTAATCTATCTCTTAAGATTCTTGTGAGGATCAAAGGGAACATTGTGTAAAGCGTTAAGCGTAATTCTGGTGCATAGTAAGGACTGAAGATTAATTAATTAATTAATTAATGTTTGGTATCCGGTTTATAATGGTGGTGGCTGTGTGCCGTGGAGTTGGTTCCGACTCATAGTGACCCTGTACAGGGTTTCCGAGGCTGTAAGTCTTTACGGGAACAGAAAGCCTCATCTTTCTCCCGCGGAACAGCTGGTAGTTTCGAACTGCTGACCTTGAAGTTCGCAGCCCGCTTTGTAACCACTACGCTTCCAGAGCTCCTTTAGTTTCATATATTGTTTTGTTTTTTTTTAATGCTTGAAGGATAGCTGCTTCAGTGTAAATTAGGATGGGTAAGTCTTAGTCTCACCCACCTCCCTCCATATTGCCCGAACTTCCGTTGCAAACACACCTGTAAAACTTTAGTCTATTTTAAAGACAACTTTTGCATAAGGAAACTCTTGAAAGATACACAAGAAACTAATAGAAGTGGTTGGTGGAAGTAGAGTGGGGATAGAATGTCACACAGTAAAATTTTACATTAAAAAAAATTATTTTGAGCTATATAGATATTGCTTACACAATGGACTTAAGAGATAGTAAAATAAAGGGGTAGGTAGTGTGGGTGTGTGTAGATTACCAATGATTGGACATTTATGGATGAGCAATAATTTCCTGGACATCAGACAACAAAAGAGCAACTTTTTTCCCCACTTGCATTCCTCTCCATTTGCCTTGAGAAGATGCTGGAAATACTTGCTCTATCCTTCTTAAAGCCAAATATCTGACTGAGCTGGGTATGTAGGGACAGGCAGAAAGGGAATGAACCTTTACAGAAAATATACTTTGGATCAAACATTGTGCAAGATTGTACAGTGTCATCATTTAATCATCTGTCTTGAGTTTGGAGTTAGGATTCTTGTCTCAAAATAGATGAGGAAAGGCTCAGAGAGGTTTGGTAATTTGCTCTTTAATGCTCATCTTGATAGTCTTCTGTCTTGTGAGGCACCAGGGAATCACACATTCTTTAGAATGATGAGTGAAGCATTTTAGAACTATAAATTTGTTTCCGATGATGGATAGATTGGAGTAGTAGCTGGAAAAGCTCGCTAGATAGAAGACTACTAGAATTATCTTGAGCCTGGCTAGCTGGTAATTGGTCATTGTGTATAGGTATGAGAGCTATCTCAGAGGTTGAGATGGAGATGCCTGCCTAGAATTTAGAATAAAGTGGACATCATCTGCTCTTTCAGTGTCACTTTTCCTAGTCACTTTCCTTGATCTCTTCCTTGCCACACCCTCTCCCCACCCCAAAGAATAAATTATTTCCTCACGCATACTTTCTTAGCATGATTTGTTGTTAATGTGCTATGGAGTCGGTTCCGACTCATAGTGACCCTGTACAGGGTTTCCGAGGCTGTAAATCTTTACGAGAGGAGAAAGCCATTATGATTTTATGGTGTATGAGAAGATCAGAGTTTGAAGTAAGATGGATCTGGATTGAATCCTAGATTAAGTTTAGTGATTTAGATTAAATTACTCTGGGTTTTAGTTTCCTTATTTCTGAGATGGTAATACAAATATCTACCTCATAGGGCTGTTAGAAGGATTACGTGAAATAACACTTTAAAAAGACATAGCCAGTGTGTGGCACATAGTAGATGTTCCGTAAGTACCTGTCTGCTAACCTAAAGGTCAGATGTTCAAACCCACGAGCCACTTCATGGGACAAAGATGTGGCAGTCAGCTTCTGTAAAGATTTACAGCATTGGAAACCCTATGGGGCACTTCACAGTGTCTTAATATTAAGGTCACGGTGAGTTGAAATCAACTCTGTGACAACTGGGGATATTTAGCTAGTAGCTATTTGGCTGTGCTTCTTGAGGGACTGTCTTATTTTTCTTTGTATTGGCCGAGCCTGAAACAGTGCCAGGTACTTGATAGGTATGCAATAGGTATGCAATAGTTTGAATTGAAATACTGTATCTCAGGGTTCAGTCCTCTGTATCTGTCCATATTCATTCCCCAGACAGTCTCTGACTTTAAAGAACTCCAGAGTCAGATTGCCTGAGTTTGAATCTGGTGCTTGAATCTGGCTCATGCTTGCTCTCTGTCTTTGGTCGAGTTACTTAATGTATTTTATGCATCAATTTCTTCATTTGTAAAATACGGATAATAGATATGACCTACCAGCTGCTATGTGAGAGAAAGATGAGCCTTTTTGCTCCCATAAAGATTTACAGCCTCAGAAACCCTGTACAGGGTCGCTATAGGTTAGAACCGACTCCACGGCACATAACCACCACCACCAACCCTATACAGGATCACTGTGGGTTGGAACCGACTCAGTGGCACTTAATAACAAAACAACAACGTCCTAAGATGCTGCCTGCGTGGCACAGGTTGCTGTGCACAGCAGCAGGTTGCTAAACTGGTAGGTATGTTGGAATCCGTCCCGAGGTGCCTTGGAAGAAATGCCTGATGATCTAGTTCAGAAGGATCACAACTGTTGAAAACCCTGCAGAGTACAGTTCTACTCTGAAACCCCTGGCCTTCCTATAAGATAGAATTGACTCAATGGCAGCTGGTTGGTTGGTTGATTGGTTAGTCTCCTAAGCTTATAGCGAGGACCAGGGAGTTAGTATATATAAGTGCTTAAAGTGGTGTCTTGAAACATAATAATCATGCTATAAAGATTATCTTGTATAATTAGTAATAAATAACTCTGTATTCTGATGGATCCTAAATCTATATTTCCATCCTCAATTTCTCCCTTCAACCCCAGAATATCTATTAACTCAGCATTTCTATTTAGATGTCTTATGTGCAGATTTAAGGAGCTCTGGTAGTGTAGTGGTTACGAATCAGGCTGCTAACCCGACTCCACGGCACATAACAACAACAACATGTGCAGATTTAATGTGTCAGAAGTTAGACTTCTGATTCTTCTCTTGCCAAACCTGATCTCCCCCAAGTCTTCCTCATCTCCCTAAATAGGACTTACACCTGGGAAAAGATTACTGAGCACATGAACGTTATAGTAGGCTTGAACGTTGGTGGTGTTGTAAAATAAGCACTGGATTGCTAATCTCATGATCAGTAGTTCAAATCCACCAGCTGCTCCACAGGAGAAAAACAAGGCTTTTTGTTTCTATAGCCTCAGAAGCTTTATACAGGGTTGTTATGAGTTGGAATCAACTGGATGGCAGTGGGTTTGCCTTACATTCTTCCTTGCCATTCTATCCTCTATCATGGTAGTAAAACATGCTGGTATAATCCTATAGTGTTTATACTGCCCTTGCAAATTCATTGGTACATTTGAGCCTTAAAGTAAATCACACCTTACTTAAAACCCTCCAGTGGCACATCCCATTGCAGTTAGACTCAAATCCAAGATTCCTTGTCATGGGTCTGCATGATCAGTAGAAGATGACAGAAAGGGATAGTGTAGGTAAACCCTAGACTGTAAGGTAGTGTCGCTCATACTTCAGGGCATGACTCCTAGAGATAATCTTCAGCATGGCTGTCTGATTGGCACTCTGGGCTATGAGACCCCTGCTTGTCAAAGGTCAATCTCAAATGCTAGTCATTGCTCTTTTATGATTATTGACATATCTAAATTCTACCTGAGTTGTATTTGCTTAATACTTTAGACTGACCCCTTAAAAACAGGTTTTTAATTTTTATTTTTGGAATAGGCCTTATTCAAAGCATTTGTTGTTAATGCCATTGAGTCAGTTCTGACTTATGTATAGGGTTTCTGGAGTCCTGGTGTGGCGCTGTAGGATAAAGGGCTGGACTGAAAGGTCCACAGGGTCAGCAGTTCAAACTAACCAGCTGTTCCTTGGAAACCCTATACAAGGTCTATGAGTTGTAACCGTTCGATGGTATTTAACATAGGGCTTCCAGGGAGTGCATGACTCCATTCAATAAATACTGGACTGATTCATAATATCTGCGGTTTAAGCCCTCTAACCACTCGGTGGGAGAAAGACTAGGCTTTCTGCTCCCACTATGAATTAGAGCCTCAGAAACCCTGTACTGGGTTGCTATGAGTTTGAACCTACTTGACAGCACTTTAACAACAACAACTTAGATTTCCAAGGAGCAGCTAATGGGTTTGAACCACTCACCTTGAGGTTAGCAGTCTCATGCTTATCCTACAATACCACACCAGGACATTTGTGAAACCTAGGGGTTTAAGTCAAATACAGTCTTTCCTTGAATGT